GAAATGGTTTCCCTCAGCCTCAGCCTCGTCATCCTCAAAAGGGATTCCGGGAATTATTGTGAGACTTGAATGAAGTAAATGACGCAGCTGGAAGCATCACGCTAGCTAGGGGGTGGGGCTGCTTTCTCTAGCCTAGGAAGATCAGGTGGATATGGCGTTTTTTTTTTTTTAAAACATCAAATATTTCAAGAAGAAAGTTTTTCATCTTAAAAAGCAAGTTCCAGGTTGCATTCCTTGTCCTGTCAACAAGAAGGACGAGAATTCAGTCTGTGCATGTGTGTGTTCGTGTGAGCAAGTGTGTGTTCGTGTGAGCACGTGTGTGCACCTGTGTATGCGTGTGTGTGTGTGTGCATGTGTGTTATGTTGAGGGAGGGAGGAAGGGACGAATCAGAGAACGAGGCTGCTCTTACCTGCACAGTGCTAGAGGGAGTCAGCAGCTCGCTGAGCAGGTCTGACACTCAGCTCAGTTATCAGACCCCACACCCTGCAGTCACAGGCTGGAAAGTAGAGCATCAGCCCCGGGAGCCCCCAGGGTCGGTGGGGATCGATGTGGGCAGGGGCTTCTTTCCACTGGCAAGGATATCGGACGAGGCATGCGCGAGGCTGGAAGGGACCTTCCTGCTTCCGGCTTGCTTCCACCCTGTGGCATCGGCTGGCTCTCCCTTCTGTCCTGACACCTGCTGATTTATTGGGCCCAGGGCTTCCAGGGCATCAGGAGTCTGCACAGGGCAGCAGGCCTAACTGGGGTGTGAGTGACTGTTCTGGTGGTATCTGTTAGCTGGTGGTGTCTGGCATCTGCCCCTGGGAGTGAGGGCAGGGGACAGGTGAGGGGCCAGTAGGGGAGGTGTGTGGGCTGGCAACAGGCCCAGCTGGTGAGACCGGGGGCTTTGGGGCTGCATGTGTGAGCGCTGGCCATGGAGCTCCTACTCTGTCTCCTTCCTTCTCTGCTGCCTGCTCTGTTTCTACAGACCTGGGCAGAGGACTGGCTGGCCCTTGCGATGGACTCTGGGCACAGGGCTGCTGTTCAGAGCTCTCTGAGTGGACTTGAAGGAAAACCTCAGCCTGTGCCTCCCACAGGGCGTCCAGTGGAGGTGGAGGGATGAGCACTGGATTTGGGTCCTGTCTGGACAGCTGAGTCCCGGGGTGATGTGGCATTTTCCCATACTCTGCTCTCGGCACCTCTGCCAGTGAGGAGTGAAATTTTGAAATGTGATGTCTTGTTTTTCCGAAGTGAGGCCAGGCCTTCCAGGTGTTGTGTGATGGCCAAGCCCCTCAGTGGAGCAGCTAATGTCTGACCACATGAGTGGGCGGCCCCACGGAGAGCCCTGGCTCCTGTCCACGTTTAGGCCTCGGAATCAGCGGCTGCCCTCTTGACCACTTCAGTTCCCAGAAGCCGTGTTCTGTGCGACTTCACGGCCAGTCTGCCAGAGGCTGCTGACCTCCTGCCCACGTCCATGACTAGCAGTGCTGCCCTCTGTCAGGCAGACGCAGGCTGTCATCTGCGGAAACCCAGCTGGGCCCGCACCGCTCTTCTCCCTCCTGCCACGCCTACCCTGAAAGGGTACTGCGGGGGCCACGGTCAGGGTTCCCATCAGGCCCACGGGATGTTTTTGGGTTGTTGGTTCTGATGAAGACTGTTTATGGTGCCCCACAGGGAGAGGTCAGGGTCAGCGCCTGGCCCTAGCCATCTCTGTGTCCCTGGAGTGGGGTCCTTGGCATGTCGGGCATAGCGTCTTGTGTGAAGTGGGCCAAGACTGGACACCTGGATGGTGGTTTGTGTTTGTGGCCTACACTCTGTAAACATTTCACAGATTAACCACATTCAAGTGTCAACCAGTTTTTGTTTAGTTGGAGTAACCTAGTTACGTGTATTCCACTCTGGTGGTGTGGCCTGGATCACGTAATCAGCATCACTTGGCAAAGGGGAGAAGCAGATGCCTTCCTGCCTTTACCAGGAGCCCTAGGGTCCCTTCTCTTTGATCCATTAGCGTTTCCTGGAGCACTCAGCCTCTCCCTGGCATTCAGCACCTCCCTGGCAGTTAGAATTAACTGTGGCACTGAGCAGCTCTCGTGGCACTGAGCACTGACTACAGCACCCAGAATCTCCCGTGGTACTTAGCACTAACTGTGGAAATCAGAATATCCCATGGCTCTGAGCAGCTCCTGTGGCACTGAGCACTGACTACAGCACCCAGAATCTCCCATGGTACTTAGCACTAACTGTGGAACTCAGCATATCCCACGGCACTGAGCACTAACTGTGGCACTGGCACCTCCCTGGCACTCAGCACTAACTATGGTGCTCAGCATTCTCCTGTGGCACTTAGCATTAACTGTGGCACTTAGCACCTCCCTGGCAGCCAGTACCTCCTGTGGCACCCAGTACCTCCTGTACCACCCAGCATCTCCCATGGTTTTCCCTGGGTTCTTGGGTCCTGCATGACATAAAACTGGCCAGGTGAACCTGTTATGCCCTCTCTTCTTAAGTGGTCTTTTGAGATGGGCTATGACACTTTGATGGTGAGGTACAGCAATCCTTTTCCTCCCTGACAGCTGGTGGCCTTCTCCTGGATGATAATAGGAACTTCCCAGCATCTGTCTGCTTCCACCCTGTCCTCTGTGATCCTCAGCTTGGTGACTATGAGCCAGTCCCCCTTACTCTGTAGCATCTCCCATTTAGTTGGGACTTACAGCCCTGGCAGAGACTTTCTGATTCTTGCAGCCACATGGCACGGTGTCGCCATCACTGAGGTCTGTGAGTTCTGAGAGCTGGAATTTGGACAGGTGTGTGGGTTGGTTTGTCTATCCGTGATGTCTGGGTCCCTCTGGTGCAAAGGCAAAATACCGACAGCCTGTCAGGCACGTCTGGGGTTGATGCTGGCTGCGGGCTGAGGCCTGCGCCTGGCTGCTACCTCCACCCCTGCACGTGGCTCCATGGGACATGGGCTTCCTCATGGCATGGTGGCCGGCTCCCAGAAGAGGGGGCCAGGCAGAGTCGCATGGAATCCCATTACACTTGGGTGTGGAGAGGTCACAGCCTGTCCAGATTCCTGGGAGGGAAATGGGCTTTGCCTCTGGATGGGGAACGGAAGGTTCTAGAACAGAGGCATGCTGGGGCCCCATTTGGGAGCACAGTCTGCCTCATGGCCACGTGACTGGGCCTAGGTTCTGCCTGCCTTGTCTCTTCTCTCCATGGAGCACTGGGCCCCAGCCACTTTGTGGTGCACTCAGGGTGGCTCCAGCCCTGGGACCTTCAGACTGGCTGCCCTTCCGCCTGCCCTGCTCAGCTCAGGACGCTTGCCATCTCTCCCCTGCCCTCTGCAAGCTATTACTCAGGCGCCACCTTCCCAGGAGGCCTGCTCTCACCGCTCTGCAGCCCCGATTGTCTTTCTTTAACTTGCTCTCCACAGTACTTACCTTAAGTTTCTAGGGAACTTCTTTCAATCATCGCCCGGTCAGGATGTAACCGCTGCAGAAGCAGGAGTCTTGAGCTTTTCTGTTTGCTGACCTTTCCCAAGGGAATGGGATGTGGAGCAGGAAGAGCTTCTCCATCTGGGACTTTTGGAACTTGCTGTACTTGCTCCAGATTGGCTGTTGAGCAGAGCTCTGCTTTGTAGAGCCTTCTGGTGACAGGCAAATCCCCACATGCAGACAATACCTGGCATGTGGCAGGTGTTAAAATAAAAGAAAAGCCAGTCAGCCCTCTGATCTGGGGTTCTGCATCCATGGATCCAACCCACCTCAGATTGGGACTATTTGACAAAACCCGGGTCTGTACTAAATATGGAACAACTATTCACAGGCCATTCCCACCGTCTGAGGCATTGCCAGGAATCCAGGAGGATTTAGATCATGCACGAGGATGTGTATAGGTTATATGCAGGTTCTCTGCCCTTTTATAGATGGCACTTAGCATCTCAAACTCTGGCATTTGGGAAGGGTCCTGTTGCCCACCTCCTGGACATGAGGGATGATTGAACAAGTCACCTGGAAAAACACTTAGCACATGACATAAACAGTTTTATTGCCCGAATATCTCTTTTTATGAAGCAATGAACCAACATTTCTGATTATTTTATTTTTTTGAGTAAATATTTAGTTTCTTTGCAAGGAGGTCCAGGGTGCATTTCCAGCTTCTTCCGTACACCTGACCCTACTCCAACATACACGTTGGCAGAGTAGGACCCCAGACTCCAGGGGCGCCATTTGGGGCAGGCGGGCCTCTGCTCTGCGGGTTCCCAGTTCCCAGTGGTAGTGAGCCCCCTGCAATGTGGACTACCTGGAGACTAAGCGGAGTCCAGAATGAGGCCAGCAGGGAAGCTGCCCTGACAGTGGATGGCCACTACAGCCCCCTCTGCAAGTGCCACCCCTGCGGGTGCCCTTTGGAGCACTTCATGCCCATACTCAGCGCCTGGGGCGGGGCTATCCAGTCCTCAGAGCCTGCCCGGGGGTTCAGGTCTTCCTCATGTCCAGTGCTCGCTGCCACTTGCCCCTTCTGTGTGTATTTGGTGACTGGTGTGCTCTGCATTGACTCAGATGGTGGCTGGCCTCACTGGAGGGTCAAAGGGTGGCTGGCCTCACTGGAGGGTCATGCCAGTGAGTGGGCCTATGGTCCTCGGCTGCATCTTCTGTAGGGCAGAGGTTGCTCCACACTCTGTTCTCTTCCCTGTGTCCCACAGCCAAGTTGGCTGCAGGTGGGGAGATGCATGGAGCACCCGTGATCACTATGGGCGGGCGGTCAGTGTGTGGCCTGGAAGGAACCAAGCCAGGACAGCACAGTGAGGGTGCACCATCTCTGACTCCCTCAGAGACACCTGAAACCTCAGCCTCCTTCCCTGCACAGGACACGGGTCCCTGCCGTGATGGGCCTCAGTGTTTTCCTGACACAGGAGGCCTCCGTTGCCAGAGGCGTGGCCACGATCCTGGACATGTCCCCGGCCTGTGTGATTCTGGTTTCTGTCTCACTTCAGGGACATTCATGTTGCACTTCTGTTTTGCAGAAGCGAGTGTGAAGGAGAAGACCGTGAAGTACATGGAGGTGCTTGAGGGAAACCTGCGCAGGTGAGGAGAATACCTGCACCATAGACCCAGGGCACACCTGGAGGCTCCACGAGGGTTCACCGGAATTTAGTCCAGTCCGTGAAAAGGGCTTGCCAAGAAAAAGTGAAGTCCTCTGGGCCCCCAGGGGAGGAGCAGGTGCCATACAAATATCTCTCGGCTCAGGTTTCCACCTTTACAAAGCAAATCGCCTGGGATGCTTGCTGTGTCCTGGGGAGAACACAGGACAGCCTTCATGTCCCTTGGTAAGGACAAGCATGGGATTCCGCCTCATGCCTTGTGAATCCGTTTAGACATGGTTTGAACAATACAGAAATGCACGTCGTAGGTTCTGTTTTGAATCCTGAATCAACTAGCGTGAACATTCCTGGTTGTTTTTTTTTTTTAACCCAGTTAGGAATTCAGACAGGAGGACCCTCAGGCAGCTGTGGCATGTCGAGATGTTTCTGGCTCTCCTCGTGCGTACTTCTGAAAATGAACCAGCCACTGGGCTCTGCTCCTAATTAAGGAGCAAGTTTGGGAATGCAGAATGTGCTCTCCACCCTGGGAGGCATTTGGTTTTAGGGCTATGTGTTGCTTCTATTTTGGAAGTGGTTAAGTAGCTCTTCAGAAAGGCCACGCCTGGGACCTGTCCTGGGACAGTGCCCTGGGCCCACAGGTCTCCCTGGGAGGTGGTGGAGCCTGCTGTCGGGGGGAGCCGGGCACTCACTCTAGAGGGTTTGTTCTCCTTGTGGAAAGCGACACACTCTCTGCCTGGCCATTCCCTGCCTCCTACACCTCAGACTGTTGAAAGTGGCTAGTGGGGAGTGGGGGAGGCGCTGCCCATCGGTGTGGCTTGGCTGAGGCAAGAACCCTGGGTTCAGGCTGGCTCCCTGCCCTCTTGTCCCCCTCAGACCCCAAGTCTGGTCGACCCTGCCTCCTGGGCACATTGCAGGGCCACCTTTGTCTGCTCGTGCACTGTCCTCTCCGGGAACATTCAGCTCACAGCGCGGCTCCCTGCCTCCAGGGTCCTCCTTGTCCTCAGTCCTGAGGGCTCTGAGCGTGTGTCTTAAACACAGCCTGGCATTGCAGGTGACTGCCCTTTGTCCTCAGCTCATGTCCAAATGCCTTCCCAATGCTCATAGCTTCTCCTGGTGACTGCGTCCTTGGGGGTTACCGTCACCAGCCATCCCCCTGTTCCAGTGTGCAGGTCCTCCTGCTCTTTCTAGGCCTCTGGGTTTTCCTAGAAGAGGAGCCACCTCAAAGGGGAGATGTTATCCTTCCCCAGGGCACCTGGCATGTGCCAGGCGGCTCCACCCCTCTTCCTTCGCCTGGCCTCCCGAGGCTTTGCCCAGCTGCACACCACTGGACCTTGGTGGGTCCAGTCCTCGCCCATCCTCAGGGTTAAGTGCCTCCATTGAATCTGCTGTGGCTGCCCACCCCTGAGCAGTGGTCTTGCACCGTGCTGTCCGGGCTGCCTGGGGCATCCGGCAGGGCCACGAGGCCACCTGTCTTGTCCAGGAGTGCATCCGCAGGGATTTGCCAGTGCTGATGTCAGGTGCCCGGAAGCCTGTGCTTGCACAGATGGTTCAATAAACACAGCCAGGTGGTAGATACCCATGTCCTCTCCCATCACCTCCGCCGCTCTCTCTGCCTCTTCAGCCATGCAGATGCCCCCAAGCCAATTGTCCTTGACCTCTTGACTCACGTCCATTTGCACTTAGAAGGCCTCCACATTGTCCTGTGGCCAGGGTGGTGGCTGGTGGGGTGGGAGTTGACCAGGCAGCCAGGGTGTATACTCTTAAGAAGGCAGTTTTATAGGTGCCTCAGATCAAAGTGGACACTGCCAAATGGGTGGTAAGGGCCAGCCCCTCATGTGGCAGTGCTGTCCCCAAGTGGTGATGGCTGTGCTCACATGCCCTGATGACCATCTCCCCTGATGGTCCATCACATCTCTTCCTCTCCAAGGAAACAACACCTGAGGCACAGAAATGGTTTTCTGCCCTGGTGCAGTTGGCCTCATGGTGACTGCTCAGTGCATACTGCAAGGCATCAAGTGACTAACGCTGGTGGCAGATGTTGGCCAAAGTCCCCGTGGCATCCTGTAGCCTGACAGGGCTTTGGAAAGAAAGCTGCTGAGAGCAGGCTGGTCCACTCCCTCCTGCTGGGCCACTGCAGGGGATGCCCTTAAAGGGCAGTGCACAGGGATTCCCATCTGGCCAGTTGCGGTTCAAAGACACACGCAGATGGCCACACGGGCTTTGTCACTCTCTAGGTGTACAGAGACCTGGACGCTAGGTGCAGTCAGAGGGCTCAGTGTCCCTGTCTGTGGGAAAGTCAGTCAGCTGCTGGAGGAGGGTAGAGGCCAGCAGTGACCCAGGGTATCTGCATGGCACAGAAGAGAGCTGGGTACTAGAGCAGGGCTTGGCTGCGGCCCTCTGCCTTGGAGTCAGGTGCACATGCATAATGGCTCCTTCCTCCACAAAGGGGAGACACCACAGGAGGGCTCTGTTTGACCTCTGCCTGTTGGTGCAGGTGCCTCTTTCTTCTGTGTCACTCAGCCAGAGGGAGGCAGCAGCCAGGCTCTGCAGTCACTCTCCAAGTGTCCCTCCTTTCCCCACAGGGCAGTGAAGCCTCTTCCTAAAGGCCTCTCCCACATCAGCCTGCACTTTTCCACAGCAGGACTAACATCATCACTGCTGGGCTTCCTTTCCCCCTGCGTAGCTGCTGGCCCTGCCACGTCCCCTGGGCTCTTGTGAGGGGCTGCAGCCTGCTGGCCCAGTCTTGTCTGCAGTCCCCACCGCATGGTGCCCAAGGCGCCCCACTTGCTGGACTCCCTGGGTGCCCCAGTCACCTATGCAGCACCGCTGCGGAGTCCCCTGCTGCCCCATGAACGCTCACACCAGGACACAGCGCACGTGCCCCTCTGCGAAGCCCTGCCTGCCCCTCCTGCTCCTGCGGGCACCACCTGGCAGCCACACGCAACAGTGCATTGTGAGGGCCGTCTGGTTCTGGCAGACTTTGCTCCTCCAGGGCGTATTCCATGCCCCACCAGCCTGGTGTTCTGGAGGTGGCAGGCTGTCTGGCACATGGAGAGCCTAAATCAGATTCAGTGTTCCGATCAACGGATCAGTAGCGGTCACCTCTGGACACTTTATTCTTAACTATTAGATTCAAAAGTCAGTGACTTGAGAAGACGTAGCATCCAAACCCACATCCTGGCCATCAGATCTCAGGGGTAATGATGGGAGATTAGAGAGACTGGAGGTGAGGTGTCCCCCAAAAGCTCACATGTGAGACAATGCAAGAGGGTTCAGAGGAGCCGTGATTGGGTTGTGAGAGTCTTAACCCAATCAGTGAATGAATTCCCTGGTGGGATTAACTGGGTGGTGACGGCAGTGGTGGGTGTGGCTGGAGGGGTGGGAATCGGGGCGTGGCTCTGGGCATATATTCATATCTGGCAGGGGAATCTCCCTCTGCTTCCTGATCATCATGTGAGCCACACTCTTCGGTCATGGTGTTCAGCCTCACCCTGACCCCTGAGGAATGGAGCTGACCTTCTGTGGACTAAGACCTCTGAAACTGTGAGCCCCCAATAAGCTTTCCCTCCCCTGAAATTGCTCTGGTGGCGTTCTTTCGTCACAGAAGTGAAACACCTGACTAAAACAGATGGCAACATCCAATCCTGCCCTTGAAGCTCCGTGCTACGTACTCTCCTCCTCCAGGCCTGCATTCAGAGGGGACAGTGCAGGATTGTGTTGACTTAGCTCTTTCCCTTGTGGCTGAAGGGTTTTCATTTCTGTTATCTCAGTTATTATGTGCTCTTTGTTATCTTCCTTTATCATGGGGTCAAAAGAAGCTTTCCATCTTTACTTTGTAGACGGGCTACTTTTTTTTCATCAATCTCAAATCTTGTGTCTCTAACCACTGTAAAAAGGGATTCTTTGTTGTGCAGGGCACACTCCCATCTCTGGCGGGTACCCCCTGCGTCATGTGTGCTGGTTTTGGGTAAACTTATCGGATCTTTTGCAAGCAGGACCGATGGTAGCCCCCTTCTTCTTTCTACTCTCTCCTGTCCTCTCTCTGCTTGGTTTTCCCTGAAGTTGAAGATAAACCATGAATGTCAGGGAGGAAATGGGTACCAGAGCCCATGCGTGCCATTTTCTTTGCAAGTGCAGGAGTCATTTAAACATGTAGAGACGGTGCTGGAGAGAATGCAGTTTTGTGGATTGTGGGTTATTTTTGCTTCCTGGAACTCTGCTTGCAATTCTCAAGTGTGTGAGTGTGAATCACACTTTTATAATCAGAAAAGAAAACAGGAAAATCATTACAATCTGCTTTGAGCTTGGAGGTAGTTGGAAAATTCTTCAGAGGTTTTCTTGGCTTTAGAAGAAACTCTCGAGAGCGCTTTGGTCTCACCTGAAATTTACTTTGAAATTTAGAGGCTGACAAATTGCTCTAAAGGTAATTCAGTTTTTTTTTTTTTTTTAAAAAAAAAAACAACTCACATTTGTCTTCTAATAATCTTGAAATGTGCACACGGATAGGCCAAGAGTCATGGTGCCCATGAACTCACCCGCTGAAGGAGGCCCAGAGGTCGCTGCAGGGGGGAGGTGGGCTGGAGAGGGCCCTGGCCGTCTCTGCCTCGGCCCCTTCTCAGCCAGTTTGTGTGGTCATTCAGTCTCTGGTCCAGATGTTGGCAAAACCAGAGGAGCAGACAGCTTCCTGGAATGGGAAGAATCTGGCAAAATGGTGCTGGCCTTCCACGTCAGCCGGGCAGTGTCAGCAATGGCAGGGAGAAGCCTACTGAGTGGCTGGACTTCCAGGGAGCGCCCTCCAGCTGAGGCGGCACTGCGCATGTGCAGGATGCTCTCTGAGACCCAGACCTGTCCCTCGCCAGGCTCCCTGGCTTCTCGGTCACTACTGAGAACAAGGGTGGCTGGCCACCTGCCAAGCTCGGTGAAGATGGGTTTAGGTTGAAGACAGGGCCTCTGGAGAGTTGTTTCCAAAGAGGTGGGAAGGAC